AAACTTCCTTCAAATCTTACTTGATTTTTAAACTTCAAAACATTGCTATGCTAATATAGCTTTAATAGTATTCTTTCATTAACTGCTTTCTTATTTACAAAACATTCAAAGGATTTTGTTCGCATGCCCTTTATTTTTTCCTTCCAACTTATGATTACATAAGGATCTGTTATCAAATAGCTTTTCATTATTCTTTTAAGCTACAATAAACAAGGCAGATATAGCTCAGTAACAAAATGTCAATTAAAAAATTCTTGAAAGGGGATTAACTCTTTGAGTTCTTGTATGAAACGAGTCAAAATGGAATGTACAGGTTTAGCATTAGGATGTTCCATACACAGTTTCTGTGGAAATCTCTTTTATTATTTAGACAAAAAAATATATTTTCAACCCCAATGCCTTAAATGTTCCATTTAATTTTTTTAAAAAAACAACAACAACTATCTGCACATTTTGGAAAAATTCAGGATACTAAACATAGTAGAATTTATTATTNAAAAAAAAAAAAAAATGAAAAGCATCAGCCATCTAATTCATGCTAAAAAAATGGACAGCGTCCTATTGAAATTGACATTTGAGTGTTTTGAGAGCATCCAAAGATAGCATACCCCCAATACTAATCATGTGACAGCCTATATTACCAGAACTCTAAGAGATGTGCAAACATCTAAGATAATAATGGTGGTAAAATAATATGGGTGGATTCACTCTATAGGCTGACATACTCATAAGTAATAAAACACAGTGAACGTTCAAAGTTGCAGAATAGAGAATATCAAGTTTTCAAAACAGTACTGTCTGAGGCTTGGAGACTTCTTCCTTTTAGAATAAACTTTAAATGCTTACATAGAAGAAAATTAGATTGCAGTTGAAACACATATGTATTTATTTATTTATGTATATGTTTATTTTTAATTTCAATATTTGAGGCCATCTATTTATTTATGTCTGGGTGGCTAAAATACCAAATATGCCACATTATTTTAAATAAAAGTACACAAATTCAAACATTAGGCAGCTTAAAGACTTTTTTTTTTTAAGGAAAAAAATTACTGTTGTTCACCACATTACTGAAAGAAGATAAAATCTTTTGAGCAATCAGGGGAGAATCTGAATAGACTATGACTCAGTTAAGAAGTATTAGCATCAGAACTGACAACCAAGATTCTTGTGATGCTTTTCATATAATTATCGTCAACTTGCTGCTTATTTCATTACATACGATACTTAGTACTCATTACCAAATTATGATTCACAAATCCACTTCAATCCAAGTTCTCAAACTGTGTCTTGAAGTAGATTAGCGAAAACTAGAAATTGAGGAAAAACTCCATGTAAAGCGGGGAGGAAAAGAAATAGCTTGTTGGGATGTTCTGCCACATGTTATAATTTAATATTACATTTGAAATGACTCATAATGGAGGTAAAGCTACAAAACAGCTTGCTCCACAAATGAACTCTGGCATACTGCAACCCATTTGATCTGCAAATAATTTCAACACTACCGTACATATTTTGCCTCCTGCAATCCTCATCAACTGCGATTCACACTTCCCTATTTTCTGTGACAATGCAGTTCATGAACAAAACTTTCATCCAATCACTTCTCAGCCTAAATTATCCAATAGCTGAATGCAAAAAAACACCATCAATGTGTTAAAGCCCTATTCCCTTTCACAATGAAAGCAACCTTTGGTCACCATTTTATGTTTTATATGCATGACATTTATGGAGTTACCAATTCCTTCCCCTAACAGGCATCTCTTTTTCTGTATCTGCATGGTGCCTTATTAAACATTCACCCACAGAGGCTGCAATAACAGGTATTGTGTAGAGGTGTTGTGGAGGCACCGGGCAGTCACGGGACTCTTTCAAGGGAAGAATTCATTGTGAACCAATTAACAAGCTCACTAAAAAGCTAGAAAAGCTTCTCTGCTACTTCTGCCAAATCAGCTTTGTTGTTGGAGTGTATTTCACATAGCAGAGAGTTTTATGCTGGCAAAGCAGCATTCCTGGGCTTTTCCATGACTAGGGATGATCAAAATAGAGTAGGGAGACAGGGGATGCAGGAAGCATTCTATCCAATAAGAAACTACATGGATGATCCCAAAATGTATCCATCTGTGTGCACCTTGCATCTTTACAGAGGCAAGGAACAAGAATGACAGGCCACTCACAGATTGTAGGCATTACATCATCCTGCAAAAAAATGGAACACATAGCCCACATATTTAATTTTGCAGATGTAGTTATTTTAAATTTCCCTAAAAATTCTCATTATAGGGGAAACAATCTTTGATGACTAACATCTTCACAGCTTTTAAAAAAGAAGCAGGAAACAGTGCCACCATGGCTACTCCTCTTTGCAACAATTTATAGCATGAATTGCAGGTTCTTGCTTTTGCAATGATTACTGCCAGACTAATCTATAGGATGTAGTGTACAGTTCAGATAACTTTGAAGCTCTTGCTAAATATGAAACCATTTCTTGAGGTTAGGTAGGATATGCCTTTTGCTACTTTGTGAAGCAATTAAATCAAACTTTGTGAAGCAATTAAATCAGTACATAATTTTAGTGGAATGTTTCAGGTATAAAATACAAGTTACTCAATAATTCCTCTAAATGCAATAAAACAATTTATATTGGAAAATTAAATTAGGTCGAGAAGTTATTCAGTCAGGTTCACTGAATGAACATAGCTAATATCTTCTGGAAGAAATAGTTTCAAACTTTCAGTTCATAATATAGCACAAAAGTCCATTTCTAAAACAAATCTAAAATGTCCACTGATTTAAAAAAGCTCATTGATTCATTTAAATTAGTTGCTGGGCTGGCCTATTGTACTTTGGACATGTTAAGAATATGAAATGGCCAAAAGTACTATAGAGGATTTTAAAGGCAGAACTTTTTTTTTAATGACATTCAGGATAGCTTTCATTGAGAAAATAAGATACTACTTATCACTCCCTCTATTTCTTAATTGTTCATGTCTAATCTATTTTCCATTTCCCACCTCCCCACAACTTTTCACCCTCAGTGCCTGAGGAGAGAAGATCTTTATCATTTAAAGCTCTGTGATGGCCTTCCCCAGGAATCAGAGCTAGTTTATTGTGAGAAAAAATGACAGACACTTCAACAGTGCTTTGTAAAAATTATTTCATTTAGGTTTTTTTCTTAAATAAAGCACCCACATATACATTCAACAGATAAATCTTGAATAAGAAAAACACCATCACATTTCGGTAATAAAATAGCTTCTATTTGTGTAGTACAAGTGGTAAACTCTGTTCAATTTTTTTCAAAAAGCCATGTCAGTTACTAAAAATAATTTCATGAAATATGCATTAAGATCTCAAGAGACTTCACCACTAAAGTATCTGAATCATTTGAAGACAGGATCCAAGCCAAAAATAATATGAAGGTTTTTTTAAACTACAGCATGACTTCATTTCAAACAAAAATGCTTTCATGCAACAATCAATATTTCATTTAATAGTGGTGAACATGGTCCAGATTTTTCCCTGATCCAGAGCAAACAAAGCAGTATGTATTTGCCACCAAATCACTTGATTCTGAAAGGAGTGCGAGTGTGCTCACATTTGCGAACCAGTAGCAAAGGTAAGTGAATCCTACCACTGGTATATATCTTGTTCCATATTCTACCCAGTATTGTTATTTTAGATATTTTAAAACTAGGAGGTTTAATGATGAGAGCATAATAAAATATATAATGGGGGGAGAGACTACCACAAGGGTATGCAACAATAAGATGAGGTGCATGTTAAATAAGTGAATAAACATTTTCCAATTAAGATTATGTAAAAATTCACAAATCAAACATCTTTTCTGCACATAAAGATCCTTATCAAAAAGTCTCAAAGCATCTTCCTAATGTTTTAGCTTACAAGCCTAAACTAAGCATTTTATTATGGGCTGCAAGGCTTCTGACAGAACACAAATGTAAGGAACTAAGAACAGAAGAAGCCATTCATATCTTTGTATAGCATCAAACATAAAAATAAAGGATCCATTAAAAGAATGGCTAAAAAAGAATCAATAAAAACATAAAAATAAAAACATAATCTATATACACCAATACAAAATACATTGCAACTCTATATTAACACTACTTACTACATGTAATGATATACAGTCATTTATAGAAGTGCTATGAGATGTTCATATCCCTCTTTATATTCTAAAAATTGTGTTGCCTTTAAGAGATATTTCAGTTCAATGCCATATGATATAATTGGAAGTGGTAAACACGATTCAACTGTAATGCTGGCAATTTTTTTATTTTGATAAGAAATTTAAAAATACGTTCATGCCAGATTAAATACAGCAGCTACAATCATTCTATAAAACTTTATCTGCCTAATCACTGATTAATATTTACACACTGGCTCACATGAATGTAGTATCTATGTGTGAGAAGGAGAACCCTGTAGCCTACTGGGAAGGATGAGTTAGAAGAGTAATTGCAGAGCTGTTCTGAGGAATTTTCTATGCATCTGGAGGATAAACTTGCTTTGATCTACTCAGAAATAAGCATTATCTGAGCAAGTTCTAACACAATAACAAAGACAACTTCCTGAAAGGTTATCAGTTTTCAACTTTCTCTTTCTGGGGAAGGCTACTGAGAAGGTGGTGAGGTGCAGTTGCAGAACAAAAACTTTAAGAAGTATTACCTGAACCAATTTGATTTGTGTTCAGAAATAAATACAGCACCAAGACTACACTGCTTTTCTTAGACGACTCCTGGTGAGTGGGAAAGTGAACATATGACTCTCCTTATACTCTTTGTTTTCTTAGCAACTGTTGATAATAGTATCATTTTACACCATTTGCATGAATTGGGTGTACTGGAAAGTACTATTTTGTATCTATGGTACCTACAGTATGTCAGAACTATACTAGTCAACTTCATTAAATACATTGTTTAGCATCACCATAAGAAATGTTGCAAAGCTGAGGGAAAGAGAGGTAATCAGCTTACCTCAGTAAGGGCATGCAATTGTCCTTGATGTACACAGACACCCATAAACCTACAAAACAGGAGTAAAATCTTAAATCAGAAACAGTGGATTTTGCAGGGGTTCATTATTTTTTAATCATTACAGTACATATGCAGTTTAAAAAAAAAAAGAAATATTGGATGACACCAGTTCCAAAACATTATACAACTGTTCTACAATTAAATATACTGCTATGTATGTAAGTTTAAGTATAAATAATGAACTATTGTATTTGAGAATAGGAAATAAGTTCCAATTGTCCCATACTTAAATATATGTAGAAGTTTCAGAATGTATATAATGTATTGTTTACATTTTCATAAAAAGTTTAAACTTTTTACGAAAAAGTCTTATGACCATTTTTCACACATGACCAGAGATGGGTTCCTACCAGTTCGCACCTATTCAGTAGAACCGGTTCGTCAAATCTACCAAACCAGTTAGAAGAGGTTCCACCAGTGGACCCAGAAAGCAGGCCACACCTACAGAAGAGGTTCCAAAATTTTTTGAAACCCACCACTGACATAGAGAGACACGGAGGGAGGGAGGGAGGGAGGGAGAGGCAAAGACACACACACAAAGACACACACACACACACACACACACACACACAGACTCACACAGAGAGAGAATGAGAAAGAGAAAGAAAGGAAGAAAGAAAGAAATAAAAAAAGAAAAAAAGAAAAAAAGAAAGAAAAAGTGAGAGAGAAATGAAAAAAAAAGTGAGAGAGAAATGAAAGAAAAAAAGAAAAAAGGGATAGAGAGACAAAAGGAAGGAAAGAGAGAGAGAGAGAACACATGGCCGGCAAGCCACACCCACAAAGTAGGTTCGAAATTTTTTTGAAATCCACCACTGCACATGACCATTACAACATCCCCATGGTCATGTGATCAAAATTCAGATGTTTCTCGATTTACTTATATTTATGATAATGGCAGTGTCCAGGAGTCATGATAGCTCCTTTCGCAACCTTCTGATAAGCAAAGTCAATGGGGAAGCCAGATTCCTTTAACAACCGAGTTACTAATTTAACAAGGGCAGTGATTCACTTAACAACTGTGCCAAGAAAGGTTATTAAATGGGGCAAAACTTAACAAAAGTTTCACTTAGCAACAGAAATTTTGGACTCAATTGTGGTAGTAAGTTCAGCACGACCTGTATGATACAAAGTTGTTAATCAATTAGAACTGGAATAATGTGGATATAGATAAGTATACCATCTCTCATTTTAAGCAGAGTACCAAACATTTCTTTGTTAAACAGTGATAAACAATTCTAAAGACTTCTAGTCAAAAGAATACACATAATTTTACATGCAGTAATAATAAAACATCATAGCAAAATTAGAAAAGGTGTGACCTATTTATTATAAAATAATACATTAATTGAAAGAATTGGTTTGATATGCTAGAATGTAATTATATGGCATTTATAGGCCTTACTGCATATGAACACATCTTTTTAGTTGCTCACCAACCCTCCTTTCTCTATATTTTTTAAGGAAGAATTGGAGAAAAGAGAATTTATTTATTGATTTTATAAAATCACCTTTTCTGGCTAGAAAGCAGCTGAACTTTGGCCTCCATCCACAATACATCTTTGAGTCTCACATGTACATAAAATATTATTCAAAGTGAAAGGAATCCAGAGTTCAGTTGTTTACTAATCATTTTCCAAAACTTTAAAAAAAGCATAAAAGAGGGAGAAGGAGAAGAAACAGTTCCTGTGGGAATGGAGAGGTCACAATGAATGAAACGGAATTATGCAGTCCAGGAGCAGAAGGCAGAATAAAGAATGGAGTCTGAAGCATGATTATGAATAAGAACCAACAATGAACTGGCTTTCTACTTTATGGTTTAAACCAGGGATCCCCAACCCCTGGTCCTTGGCCTGGTACATACTGGGCTGTGGTCCATTGGAAACTGGGCCGTGCAAGTGGCAGGCAAAAACCATCCTCCTCCCCCTCCCAAAACTACTACTTCTGCCAGTCCACAGAGCCAGAAAGATTGGGAACCACTGGTTTAGACATTACTGCCACCATTCAGTTCTTGGGCAATAAGTTGCTTTTCTTTTAACATCAGACAAGTACCTCTGTGAAATGTTTCTGTGGTATTTTGCCATTTTAGTAACTGCTATTCCTTCTGTTACCTAGCCATTTTCTAACACAGCTGATATCATTTTTAAAGAATTTTATAAACTGAATTTGAAAATTGAGGTCCAGTTTAAGTATCATGAAACCCGAAAAACCAAATCGTTGATAAGTTATAAGATAAAGTTAGTATCTATGAAAATCTGTCTTGAATTGCAGTTAATTCTCAGCACTACTAGCAGGAGTGAGTTTATTTTATTTATTTACCAGGTTTATAAGCCATTCCAATTAGCCTGCTGTGAAGAGCACACAATTCACCAGTACATAATTGGGATTAAAAACAATACAAATCAAATTTAGAAACAAAATATTATAATAATGCACATCTAAGTAGATACATGCAAACAAAATTAATTCTTTCTCAGGAGGGATAGTAAGAGAGAACTGGCCCTTCATTTAGACAAAATAGCCAGGTTTTCATAGTTTAAGGAGAAGGAACTATTTGAATGTTTGGGGAGGGGATAACTTTCTATAAGATACTGACTGAGAAGTCACGCTTCTATGATCCATGAAATGGCAGTCTCCAATCAAGGGCATATGTAATAAACCCCACATTATATCTTGTAGAGCAGTGGTCCCCAACCTTTTTATCGCCGCGGACCAGTCAGCCTGTGATAATTTTACTGTGGCCCGCTGAGCGCGCGCAGGGGTGGGGGGGCGTTATTCGCGATGACACATTGATTGTTTATATATCATATATATTTCATTTATATATCATAAAATGTTAGATGTTGCATTATTTTCAATATGAATTTGTAAATATATGCCAAATAGATTGCAATCGCTTTCTGGACTTCCTTTAAATTTGCAGGTAAATGCTGCAATAGATATATATCTCCCATCAGATTGATGATCACCCAAAAATGTT